TAACAGGTTCCAAACTTGGGGATTATTCACTGTGCAAATATAAATTACCTTCTTGCGATATTGTCCTTTTCTTTGTTGATCTCTTTCTTTCTCTTTTTGTGAATACTCTTGTTTTAATTAGAGGTTAAACGCAGACCACTTTGCAACATATGGTTCAGACCCATTTTTTTTCTGTGTTCCTTCTCTCTTCGTGTTAAATACACAGGCATGCACTTCGCCGTTGAAGAAGGCACGAGCTTCCTCATGTGGAAGTGAATGAATCGAAAGCCTAGTTCAATTTTTCCTTTGACCTTTGACTACTGTAAGGCTTCAAAAAATGAAGCACCTCGTGAGATAAGTCCATGAGAATCCTAATTTTCCTAAGCTCTCTTCATAGACTCACTAGTCTAGTCTAATAGAAATTGAGTCCAAGTAAACCATAGCCACGACCAATTATGATACACAGAAAACTTGTAATTAGTCACAAGGTCATACATTGAATCCCATTCTAGGACAAAAAATCACATAATTCCTGATATAGTGATATGTGTTACATCCATACATGTCTCAAAGGCATGCCTATATCCCACAATACATGCTGAAGTATCTAAATGCCCACAAGATAATATTTTTGCCAAGGCCTGTTAAAATACCCACAAAATTAATCAAAGACCAATTCACATTAGCCATGCCAAATACCATATATTTTCACATATACACAGGATATAGGTAAAAGGGTATATACCTGTTGAGCTCTGATACGACCTTGCCTCTTAGCAGCACACTTCTCCAATAACGCTTTTAAAGATAACTCAAGCTCTGGAGCCTTCTCGTTCACGTCTCTCCATTTTCTTCTCCAAAAATACACTGATTATACAGATATTTAAGTCCAAAACCCTAGTGGGGGACTCTTGAATGCAAGATTACTAGCAGTGAAGGGCGTTTTAGAGAGAGAGAGAGATGAAGTAGGAGAGGGACCTGTTGATGCAGAGATAGCTGCAAGGGCCAGTGTCAAGGAGAATTTTACCCATTTCCATGGTACTTCTTTGGAGGCAGCCATGAGTTCTGTCGACCACCACTTCCAATTGAGCAACTTAAAAATAGGTCAGCAATTGAGTCGGGACGAACCGGGTGCCGTTATTTTGTGAAACCTATTATGAGAATACTGTCATTTTTAAACACAAATATTGATTTAATTCATTTTTCAACTTACTTATCGGTTTATTGTAACAACTTCGCTTTCAACAAGTGATATAACCAAAAAAAAAAAACACATTTTTGTAAGTATTAAAATTGTTCTTGTTGATTTGACTGTAAGTATTAAAAGTGTTCTTGTTAATTCCATTTTCTTCGTGAAAGCTGAATCAATAATTTCATTTTTAAAAACTGCAATAGATCGGTAAATAAGTTAAAAAGTGCAATAAATTAGTATTTTTGTTTGAAAATAATAATATTTTGGTAATAGATTTGTTATTTTGTTTCCTCTTCTTTTTTGGTGGGCTATTCCTATCCCACAAATATTTATTTTCATCTCATTAAAATTTTTATTATCAAACTACTAAGTACACCTTTTTTATATAAAACCCAATTCAACTAAGTTCACTCTATGTTATAAACACCATAAGTTCACATTCTATCTTTTCATAACTAGAGTTTCATTCACTATCTGCTCTCGTACACTCTATATAAAATAATTTTTTCAATATGAATTGTTAAGTAAGATAAGCACATCACGTTTTTCCTTCTATTGCAGATATGTAAATATGTATATACACACACATACACTCACATAAAAACTCAAAATCAAAAAATAATTAAGTTTTACATAACCAAACATAAAATCATACAACACACATAAAATCAAACAAATAATTAAACCGCAAAGTAATACTAACATATATTTCACTAGAAAAATTTATATTGAAAAAACTCTTTTATGCGGAATATATGAGAGGAAGAAATAATAAATGAAACTCTAGTTTTGAGAATATAGAAATAGTACTTGTTATTAAAGGGGTTGTGAATAATATGCCGTGAGCTTTGTTAAAATGGAGGTGAATACAGAAGGAGTGAACTTATTAGTTTGATTATAAAAGTTTTAATGGGGGGGGGGGGAAATGATATTTATGGGGTGGGAATAGCCCCACCCCTTCTTTTTTGGTTCAACCGTTAAGATGTCCAGCCACACATTTTGTCTAATCTGTTTTTCTAGTTCGATCAAAATAAGTTATTTATGCCGGAATTAAAATATTCGTGAGAGATAAATCTTCGTAATTTTGATTAACTTCCACTACTACCCAATTCTAACATAACACTGTGACACTAATTCAATTTTTCCCTTCTATTCCAGCAAATACTTCACATTTTAGGATGGTTTGCAACTTGAATGAGTTGAACGGGTTAATTATGAAACCTCCAACTCGGGTGAATATGAACCCAAATTTAATCACCCGAACTCTTAATCCTGAGTATTATCCATGGCCTAAATCAGAATAAAATTCATGTTCAAGTTGGGTGTGATACATAATTGTTTGAAATTTGAGTTGGGTGACAACAATCCAATATACCAACCCTAATACGGCTAGGACTCAAATGAAATTGAGATTTTTTTTACACAAATCCAATCAAGTATTGAATTTATTAGGTTGTATTTTAGATTGATCGGTCCAAGTTGCATCACCCAAACCAATAATAAAATTTTAAATAGATAAAGTGAACTCTATTTGAGTAATTATTAGCCTACATGAAAGATAAATGAACAATTATTTGTTTATATGAACAGGTTGTTATTAACTTGTGTGCGGTTCTACTTCTTTATTTATTTGCATATTATTGATTATTAATACCACATGACAATGTTGACATAATATCACTGTTACAATTAATATTTTTTTCCAAACAATCGGTTCACACATCAAATCATTTGAAATTTTAAAATTATGCGGATTAGTTCAAAAAAAATCTTATTTTAGGGATTTAATCCTCTCTCAACTTAGAAATTTTTAATTTTAACATATTTTAATCAAGTTGGGTCATTTAATTTTAAATTCATTTAGTTACATTCAATTAAAGGAACCCATTAATGTTATATTTGCCAATATTAATTGTAAAGATCAATCGAGTCGAGTTTAATAGGACAAATACTTTCCATAAAACAGTTAGAGGGCTATCATAGTCAAATAGAAATATTAAAAATTTTCATGTCTTTGTTTTTTGAGTTGTAAAAAAAATTAACAATTTTAGCATAAATAATAGGGCTAATGTCACTTTACACTCTAAAAATGTTTCAATTTTTAATTTATACTCTCAAGTATTAAAAATTTTACTTTACACCCTCAAAATTATAAATTGATAGCAATGTAGACCTAGCCTAGTCTATTGTTTAGTTTTTCGTCATAAATTGAAGCACGTGAGTTACAAATGTTTTGAACATGAACTTATGTATAAATTCACAAACTGTGGACGCTTCACATGAATTGCAAATGATAAATTTAGCCACTATTTGATTAACGAAATCTTACTTTTTATACATAATACGATATCAAATTGATCGCAGAAGAAAATCTACAACAATGAATACGCCTGATTTTCATACCCGAAGTATTTATAACTCATGTGCTTCAATTTATGACAGAAAATTGAACAACAGTCTGGGCAAGGTCCACATTACTGTCAATTCATAACGTTGAAGGTGTAAATTAAATTTTTTAATATTTGAGGGTATAAATTAAAAATTAAAATATCTTTCAAGGTATAAAGTGGGATTAGCCCTAAATAAGTATACTGCAAGAACAGAAAGAAGATCCAAGGCCTTATTGGTAGATGGGTGATAGGGTTTGGCACTCTCTCTCCGCTTACGCATTAGTCAACCATGTAGCACATAGATGCCCTTGTGCATNCCTGGACTCAAATGAAATTGAGATTTTTTTTACACAAATCCAATCAAGTATTGAATTTATTAGGTTGTATTTTAGATTGATCGTTCCAAGTTGCATCACCCAAACCAATAATAAAATTTTAAATAGATAAAGTGAACTCTATTTGAGTAATTATTAGCCTACATGAAAGATAAATGAACAATTATCTGTTTATATGAACAGGTTGTTATTAACTTGTGTGCGGTTCTACTTCTTTATTTATTTGCATATTATTGATTATTAATACCACATGACAATGTTGACATAATATCACTGTTACAATTAATATTTTTTTCCAAACAATCGGTTCACACATCAAATCATTTGAAATTTTAAAATTATGCGGATTAGTTCNATTGTTACACTTAATATTTTTTTCCAAACAATCGGTTCACACATCAAATCATTTGAAATTTTAAAATTATGTGGATTAGTTCAAAAAAAATCTTATTTTAGGGATTTAATCCTCTCAACTTAGAAATTTTTAATTTTAACATATTTTAATCAAGTTGGGTCATTTAATTTTAAATTCATTTAGTTACATTCAATTAAAGGAACCCATTAATGTTATATTTGCCAATATTAATTGTAAAGATCAATCGAGTCTAGTTTAATAGGACAAATACTTTCCATAAAACAGTTAGACCTAGCCTAGTCTGTTGTTTAATTTTTCATCATAAATTGAAGCACGTGAGTTACAAATGTTTTGAACATGAACTTATGTATAAATTCACAAACTGTGCACGCTTCACATGAATTGCAAATGATAAATTTAGCCACTATTTGATTAACAAAAATCTTACTTTTTATACATAATACGTTATCAAATTGATCGCAGAAGAAAATCTACAGCAATGAATACGCCTCATTTTCATACCCGAAGTATTTATAACTCATGTGCTTCAATTTATGACAGAAAATTGAACAACAGTCTGGGCAAGGTCCACATTACTGTCAATTCATAACGTTGAAGGTGTAAATTAAATTTTTTAATATTTGAGGGTATAAATTAAAAATTAAAATATCTTTCAAGGTATAAAGTGGGATTAGCCCTAAATAAGTATACTGCAAGAACAGAAAGAAGATCCAAGGCTTTATTGGTAGATGGGTGATAGGGTTAGGCACTCTCTCTCCGCTTACGCATTAGTCAACCATGTAGCACATAGATGCCCTTGTGCATATCTACAGTCTGTCCACATCCAGATATACAGATCCATTACGTCGGTATGCATAAGCACAACATAGTTAGTAGAAAACAACGACATCAACTAAATTTTGAATTTTTTCAACTGATATACAAATACAAACCCACGATTTTCTTGCGTTTTCTCTCTCGTGTCATCTTTTGACTGCACCTGGTTTTGCTCTTCCTTCCTTCATATTCTGGTAATGATTAGAGTGTGTAAGCATTAACAAAACATAGTTAGTATTATTATAATAGCAATGACCTCAACAAATCTTTGATTTGTTTGAGCAGGTTCAAAGAGAGACCCACAATTTTCTTGCATTTTCTTTCTTATATCATCTTGATTGCAGCAGGTACTGCCCTTCTTCTTTTTCCTTTCATATATTCTGGTATTGATTATTGTAAGTCTTTTAGTTACACGAACTTGCGAAAAGAAGAAACCCTTTTTCATTGGTTATTTCATATAAATGAGGAAATTCGGTTCAGGCATGGTGTTGGTACTGTTTTTGTTGTTGCCTTTGTTGATTCTGCTGCCATTCTTTAAATTTTCCTATTTGCACAACCCGTTTTCTGGGTTTGGAAGCAGAATGAGCCAAACCCATAAATCTCTTAATTTTAGTGTTACATTGCATACGCAGAGCTTGCTTCGCTTGGTTCACTTGCTTCTTGACAGGAGGTAAGCTAATAGCTTTTGAGTATGTAGTTTTTTTTTATCCAAACAATTGTTAACATGGTACGATCATACTCTTGCATCTCAATTATGGAACATATTGTTAAATTGCTTAGTATTAAATGAAATGAGGAGGGACATACTATGATTTCTGAAGTTTTTTTTCCCGGAAAGTATGATGTCTGGAGTTTCCAATAGGTCTGTTGTTGCTTCAAATATTTATATTGGTGGTTGGACTGTTACGGCAAAAGAGTGGTACTCTGGCTCTGAGACAGCCGGGATATAAACAGTGAGAACCTGAAAAGAAACCTTCAGTTGCAGCAGCAAGGTTATTAGCAATTGTCTGCATTTTGTGAAGGCAATCAGTCATGGTTTGGGACCATTTCTTTGTGGTTTGAAACTGAAGGCATATAAACATACATAGTGCAAGTAACTGAGATGCAAACACACACTCCAATGAGACCCAAACAGCACAAGAATTGGTATGACCCAGAAATTGGGTCCAAACCCTTTTAGTTGAAGAAGAGAAATCCAATATAGTAGAAGTCAATTCTGCTTTTGCCAAGCTCTGTAAGCAGGATTGATGTAGGAGAAGCAATACAGCTGTCATTTTTATCACTAGAAAGGGTTCGAGTGATAGTGTGAGCAGGACACGGCAAACCACTATTATCATATCCTTCAAATTCATGGCCTTGAAGAGCAGGGATTATTTGGGATCACCAGTAAGTGAATTTACTGTGATCAATCTTGATGGGCAGATGATGGTTGAAGTTAGCAGTGAATGGGTTAATTTAAAATTGATTAACAAGAGTTAGAAGAGTTGACAACTGTAGAGGAAGAGGTCATTGGAATAAGGTAGACTTGAGGCGGAGGACAACCTGACNTGATTAACAAGAGTTAGAAGAGTTGACAACTGTTGAGGAAGAGGTCATTGGAATAAGGTAGACTTGAGGCGGAGGACAACCTGACACCACATAAGAACTACTTGAAAAGGTTTTGCTCTCTTGAAAGTTGAGAGTGAGAGAGTCCCTTGTATTTATGATCACTGAGATAAGACCTACAGGTTACCAAGGTTAGATTAGGACATTTGAGTGTTGACAAAAGATTATCAACATAATCCTTTACAAGAATCGATAGTCGCTGATAATTAAATTGGTTCTTTGGATTTTTGTTGCCAGAATTTCTATTTTTTTTAAGGTTTCTTTCGTCTCTCTCTCTCTCACACAAGTTCACACACTTTGGCTTGGTATCGCCTGAGTTTCACTCAAAGTACCTGAAAATGTGTCATATATTCCATGCAGTGAGGTACGGGGAGAATATACAAACACCACCACTTGCGTAGATGCGTGTTCAGAAATGAAGAAGGATAATTTCACATGGGGGCCATTGATAGAGGAGTTCACTTTTGCTATAAATTCGGCTCCCTTCAATAGCTGTCATGCTTCTACCATAGTGGAGGTTTTTGCATCTAACTGTAATGTTAACATATGCATCTAAGATCAACTGTTCAATTAAATTGTAGCTGATTTGTGGCTTGTGCAGGTCGATCAAGATCATTTTTTGGTTGCTTATTTTGGGGGTTCAGCGGAGGGAGCACCTGATGTAAAAATTTGGTTGCAGACTTACAAGGTAATGCCATACTCTAATGTTAGGCTTATGCATTAATTGACACCATAATGCTTTTCTTAAGCAAGCTGGCGCACCGTTAATTGGAAGTAATCTCTGGCACGTGTTGTTGATGAACTAAAAATTTATGGGTCCTTGTTAATTGAGGGCTGTGGGAGGGATAAATTAGGTCTAGAAAGTAACCATTGGTCGTATCTGCGTGAACTGGCATTTCCCCATCCATTAGTAGGTACACTTGGTTTTTGTACTGCACATTGTGCACCTTACTTGAAGATATCATTTGCCACTGTTTATGTTACTGTTTCAACCAGGCAGACACTCATGACTAAAGGTTATGGCTCTTTTCAATTGAGATGAGTTCTGGGTTCAGCCACAAACTTTAATCCATATACCTGCATGTTATTCGGTTTTTCGTTTCGATGTCAGGAACTCCTGGAATAATTCTTTATCTCACGGTCATTATTTATACAGGATGGCTATTGGCACTCTCCAATAATTGCTGATGAACAAGACAATGTTCCAATGTGGAATCCTGCATTATTTAAGCTTCCATCCAATGAGTTGCTTCTGTTTTATAAAATCGGGCAAGAGGTTCAAAAGTAATATTTCGATGCCTGTATCTTCTGGTTCTTAATAGTTGTATTTTTTGTGAATCTAACTATGTGTATTAGTATCTTGAACGTTTGTATTTAATTTCGTAGTTTCTATTTGTCTTGGTGCTTGGTTTATGTGTCACATAATTGACTGATATTCATAATCTGTTAAGTTCAAATACACAATGAGGACTTAAAGATCCCAATATAACAGTATAGGTAATAGGATACAATAATTGGACCCACTGTCAATTTTCTTTTTGCTGTGTCTTTCAAATATACAGTATCTATGAAATTGTTTGTGCTATCATGCCCTGTTATATGTCCGAAGCAAAATGGTACCAATGTATCAGAGTATCACTAGGGAAATTGATTGGGAACTTCACAGACTTCACATTACTCTACTAGCTATTTATGTAGATAATTTTTGTGTCATAAAGATTGTTTATTTGATCTAGTGGAGAGAGTGCAACGAGTAGTTTGCAATAGCATGATCTATTAGATAAACTACTAATGATTTTTATGAAGCATTGCACGAGTCTCTTGCCTTCATTTCGACTATAGCAGATATGTTGATTATTTTATAACAATTGACATCAGATCTCCAGGAAAAATTAAAGTTTACCTCGTCATACATAAAGCAAAATGCTCGTTCATATACTCATTGGTATGGTGAATCAGTGATGTGAAACACATTAATGTTTGCAGATTCAAATTTGATTATTGGATGTGGCTCAAAATTTAGAAATTATAATATAAGGAAGCAATTAACAATGTTTTTTCTATAAATATTAAAAAAGACATAAAAATATAGTTTAATAAGAGGTTTTGGTTCAAGACCTCCATATAGACAGTATAGTGGTTCCTTATCCCCTGCAAACTTGATTTGACAAAGCAAACCTTTTTCTCTTTCATGTATTTTCATCCACATAAAATATGACGAACTGATCCATTGTTGTAAACCATTCATCTTATTGGTCGAATCCTGACGAACAGAAAATAATCTGGATAGAGAGGCAGGTTCTCTGAAATCAGGAATTTGTGACCAAATGTCTATAGTCATATTATATTTTTTTTCCCAGGCTGGTGGTAGTCATATTATATTCAGATGGCCGTCATGTTTGATTTTCATTGATAAAATAGATGTAATTATACTCTTGGCTTTCTAACATTTACGATCTAAAACATAATCAGTGTCAATCCACCTTGGCTCTCCAACTTATCCACATGGCTTTTCAGAGTTATTGCTAAACCTTTAAACANTAATACTCTTGGCTTTCTAACATTTACGATCTAAAACATAATCAGTGTCAATCCACATTGGCTCTCCAACTTATCCACATGGCTTTTCAGAGTTATTGCTAAACCTTTAAACAGCAAGAACTTCACAATTGCACAACTGAGAAAGTATGAGATGCTCTTTGTAGCATTTTGAATCATGAAAACTGACATACCACAGAACCTGGACTTTGTTTCCTTCCCATAACTCACTGAGGGTTTGGTGAACTACAGATGGAGTGGATGTATGAAGCGGTCCTTTGATGGAGGTAATACTTGGACAGAAAGGGAACAGCTTCCTCCCGGCATATTAGGACCAATTAAGAATAAGGTAAGCATGACCCAAAAACGGCAAATTTTAAATGTTTATACTTTATACCCCTATATGCCTTGAGTTGTCTTATTTGTGCCCATTTATATTCCTCAGCCTATTTTGCTGGGAAATGGCCAATTGCTCTGTGGATCTTCAGTGGAAAGTTGGAATTCATGGGGGGCATGGATGGAGGTGCAGTAAATCTACTACATTAAGCTGTTTGGATGCTAGCAATGTTCAAAAGGAGGCTAAAATTCAAATAAAGTGGATGGTTGACTTTATTTTTGTAACTCAAAAACAGATCACTGCAGATTCTGGAAGAACATGGAGAAAGTATGGACCTATCTATATTCAAAACGAATCCCTTAGCGTGATTCAACCGGTTCCTTACCAGACTGGGACTGGGACCTTGCGTGTTCTGTTGAGATCCTTCGATGGCATTGACAGAGTGTGTATGTCAGAATCTCTTGATGGTGGCCAAAGCTGGAGTTATGCAAAACCTACTGAACTGCCCAACCCAAATTCAGGTCATGATTGAAACCAAATTGTCTGCATTACAAAGAAATATTTGGATATCTAATAAATGATGGACTTATGTGTGTCTTAAATATTCTGGGCGAGTCCATTTTGTTTTCCCATGGAATTCTTGAGTGTAGAATTTACTGTTAGTGAAATCTGTGGATGCTATTACTTTGTTGTGAGAAACTGACAGAAGGGATTCCTATAGAATAAAATATATCCCATGCAAGAGCTTTTTTCCTGTGATCCTACTGGCTCAAACTCTGTTGCATTAACAGGCATTGATGGGGTTAAGCTGAAGGATGGCCGTCTCTTACTTGCTTACAATACAGTCTCCAGGGGTGTGCTCAAAGTTGACCTCTCAACAGATGACGGAGACTCATGGGATGATGTTTTGACATTAGAGGAGACTATGGGAATGGAGTTCTCTTATCCAGCTGTTATTCAAGCCAGTGATGGATTAGTTCACATTACTTACACTTATAACAGAACACAGATTAAGGTAATGGCCTTATATTGTGAAGTTTAAGACAAATTATGGTACGAATGTGAACTCCTTTATGTTTTTGATAAGTCTCCCTCCCTCCTTTTTCCTTATCGTCATTCATCCCTAAAGTTGTTATGATGTTGTCGTAAAAGATTGTCCTCAAAATGAGCTTNTCGGTAACTCTCCCTCCTTCCTTTTTCCTTATTGTCATTCATCCGTAAAGTTGTTATCATGTTGTCGTAAAAGATTGCCCTCAAAATGAAGCTTTTCGTGCTATGAAATCTAATTTCTTCTGGTCCTGTGGTTTTCAGCATGTTGTTCTTCAACCCAACTGATGCAATGGTGCATTGAGAGCGAACATGTAGAGGAAAGAGGTACATTACCTATTACTAGTAACATGTGGCCCAATAATCAGTGGATTATAGCGATAAGCCTATAACATAAAATGCCANAATGGTGCATTGAGAGCGAACATGTAGAGGAAAGAGGTACATTACCTATTACTAGTAACATGTGGCCCAATAATCAGTGGATTATAGCGATAAGCCTATAACATAAAATGCCATGTTATGGATAGATTGGTTTTCCACATGCAATTGTATTTTTTCAAAATTATTTAACTATTTTTTTTTTTAGATTTATTTTTTCCCATTGTTTCTAGATGAGTAGGCCTCTCATGAAGTTTCCTGTATTTATGGCATAAATAGGTTCCCTCTACACATTTTGGTATCATAGTTTCTGGAAGCAAGATGTTATTAAGGTATATAAATAAAATCAGCATTAGACTATGATTGCAGATATTTTTCAATTTTGTGAGCTGGGACTAGAGAAAAAGGGTGGTTACATCAACTGGATGGTAGGAAGGATCGCATATTTCGTTCACGTGGGGAAGAATTGAAGCTTTGGGTTAAAAAAACCATAATTTTGTTGAATCATGAGCTCTATAATATCCGAGTTCATATATTTCCTAGTTTCGGCAGCTGCAGTTTCTAGTGGATTTATTTAAGTTTAGTTGAGCTCAGTCCTTTATCAATAATGTCACACCAGAATTCAACTGAAGTTCAGCTACGTCTTCCACATATCTTGGTCTAATTGATCTACAACTGCTGTTTATAGAAATTTAAGGAGATGCTTTTCTTGTGTATCTANCATATCTTGGTCTAATTGATCTACAACTGCTGTTTATAGAAATTTAAGGAGATGCTTTTCTTGTGTATCTAGTCTCTCCTAAAACCTTTTGATCTTCATAAAACTTATTCTTCTTCAAATTTAAGACTTCTCAAAAACTTGATTTTCGATTCTTTTCCATTTCAGCATGGCCTTGCCAGTAACTTAAAACTGTATTCGGGCATTGAATGCTTTTGATAGAAGTGAAGATCAAAGTTCCACATCTAACTGTGGCCTTCCGGGAGGGAAAGAAGATTGATAGTATGCCAGCAAGTAGCATTTTTCCGGAAAGATTTGGTTTCCTTCCCCCTTTTTTTTTTGTNCCTTCCGGGAGGGAAAGAAGATTGATAGTATGCCAGCAAGTAGCATTTTTCCGGAAAGATTTGGTTTCCTTCCCCCTTTTTTTTTTGTTGTCATTTTCATTAATTTTTTATGTCATGCAAACTGAACTTGGATTTGAACCTTGCACCTCCTATTTTGGGTTCCAAGAGAGCTTATAGTAGTTTTTAGTTGCCCACTTGCTTTTTTATCCGCAATGTGATTTTGCAAACACTAGATCACATCTTGTAACAGGTTCCATACTTTGGGATTATTCACTTTGCAAATATAAATTACTTTCTTACGATATTGTCCTCTTCTTTGTTGATCTCTTTCTTTCTCTTTTTGTGAATATTGTCTTGTTTAATTTTTTATTTTACTGATATGTCACTCAAACCCAAAGCAAGAAACTGGCAGATCGCTTGCACTGTACAACCCCAGTGGGCTTCAGTTTTTGACCCATACTTGATTTTTTTTATGTTAAAAAAATTGGACCCGGGCTTGAATTAGGTTGGGTTGTTTGTGGAGTTAGATAAGTGTGGGTGGAGTAGCCGAGGCCTCGAGGCATAGCCTTCAGGTTTTACTGCTTCCATTTCTCACCCTATGACCAGCCTCATGGACATTTGAATAGTATCCGGTAGCTTATGGTCTACCAGCATAGCAGGTGAGCTTAAGGTAAGTAAGAACTACCCACCTAAGATTACAATGCAGAGCTTTTGTGTTTTGTCACATAGAAAGGCCTAGTCCTTAACCAGTGGAGGAAATATTCAGTGTAATAGTAATATCAAGTTATTATTGATACGGTATTACCGTTAGTAATAAACTATCATACATTATAAGTGAATGCTATTATTTTAATATGGAGGTTATTGGATAAGATTAAGATTCTCTCTAATATATTTCCTCTTTAAAATAGTGGAATCCATTTAGTCCATATAATCTTATATTATATATTTAAAATGACCAATTTTTTTATGGAGAAGGCTTGAGAAGTCTTCCCTCCTATTTTTTTTTAAGTTTTTATGAATTTTAAATTATTAAATTCTCCATTCTCCATCTACGAATGTCTCTAATAATTATCCTAAATAACTATTCATAAATTCCCTCTAATCACCAATTATTTAAAAAAAAAATAAACATCAAATTTTGTAATCCAATAATTTTTATAATATTTTTGTTAACTTATCAAATAATGTTTGGGAGAAAATTCAAAGTGAAAAAGGGGGTTGAGAAGAGAAAAAGCTGGTCTGTGCACTGCATATATTCGAACTCTAGTATTTCATAAAATATGTGATGTATAACTGTTATATTGAATTTTTTTTTTTAAAAGACGATTAGATGTAACAAACCTAACACGTTATTTTAAGGTTCTCCCAAATTATAGTTACTAAATTGAGATGGTCGAAACCGTCATCAGGACATGCAGACCATTTAATCCCTCCAGTAGATTGAGGACAAGCAGACCATTTAATCCCTCCAGTAGATCTCGTTCACATAGAGTATTACTGCAAATAAATTCGAACCCACAATTATCAAAAGACTGCAAGACTTTCACCCACCACCTCAATAATTATATTGAATAAATGGGTGCAACAAAAGGCAAGTCAAATACTGTAAATCGGTGCAATAAAAGATAGGTCATTATTTCTCACGAAATTCCTATGTCCCAACAAAAAATCAGCGCGGATTTTGGGTGGTTGCATGTCATCGTACAAACATTAAACTTTCTGCATTTAAAGAGTACTCCTTTTTTCCTACCCTTCACAGGAGAAGGACATTTCAGTACATTTATTTCGAGACTTTAAAGAGACGACAAAGCCAAAAAGCAGTTGAAGGTGTAGAAGTCGAACAGACATGCATGCGCTGCGCAGGCCTTTAAGGGTTGTGGTNTTGAAGGTGTAGAAGTCGAACAGACATGCATGCGCTGCGCAGGCCTTTAAGGGTTGTGGTTGTGGTTGTGGTGGAAGAAGTAGAACAAAGCTTCGCTGCGTACGTTTTCTCTTTCTCTCTCTAACTTTTGCAGTAACTTTGCTTTCTGTTCTCGCACTGAAGGTGTTTGAAAAATGGTCTCATTGACATATGTGCCGTGTTTTTATTCCACCCACCTTACGTGATTGACTCTGGGTCTGGGTCTATCTGGCGTTTTGGCAACAGTTTACCAGCGCATATTGGGACTTTTTAATCCACTCCATGTTACTGGTCAATCTATGTGTTGTGATCATGCAGTAATTATGGTAAATAGTAAGGAATCAAACAATTAAGAAAGTAGGAGAAAATAACACACAGAGATTTACGTGATTCGGCAATGTTCCTACATCCACGAGAGCGAGCGGCCGTTTTTTTCCATTATTGAAGTAGGGTTACATCTTAAGTATTTATATAACCCTAATATGGACGTATTTACAAAAATATCCCTGTACCGTACCGCGCAGATGCTGTCACAGGCTCCGCTCCGGCATCTACCTCCTTGCCATTATGCACATAGCAAAATATGAGCCACACATACTCTAACAATCTCCACCTTGGCAAATATTCACCCCTTTAGAAGAAAAAAGAGGACATGTATTCAGGAACTCCATCGGAGACGCTGAGTTGAGACATCTCCCATCTAGCAACTAGAAACATTAATCAAGTTCAACCAGTGCTTGAACTTGTCTGTAATAACAGGCTTTGTCAACATGTCTGCTACATTCTCAGAAAAGTGTGAACTTTCTCAAGTAATAGTTCACCAGAAGAAACCAGTTCCCTGATCTTATGAAACCTCACATCTATATGTTTTGTCCTCGCATGATACACCTGGTTATTTGCCAAATAAATGACACTCTGACTGTCACAATGCAATTGAACTCTACCTTGCTGGGCACCCAGCTCCTTGACTAAACCTGTAAGCCACAAAGCCTCTTTGGCAGCCTCAGCTACTGCCATATACTCTGACTCAGTAGTAGATAGTGCAATTATAGGCTGTACCATG